CCCTGTCCCCTCCCCTTCTCCTCTTCCCGCCTACGGCGCCCCTTCTTCCCCCCCCCCCGGCGTAGCGTGTTCAGATGACTACGCCCAAAGAAGCTAGTCTGAACACGGGATACCAGGATTGGCCATCCTGGCGTACCTGCGCTGACGGAACTCTTGCATAAGCTTTTCCACTTTCTGTTTGCTTCCATGGTCCTTCATGCTACTGCCCCCAAACAGGTTTCCCACCGCAGTTTTCAGCCGCTCGTGAGTTGCAGCCAGCCGCGCGGTTTTGACCGTTGAGTACAATAATTGTTCAACCTTTCAAGTGACCTGACCGTCTCGCCTTGCTTTTCCCTCGCCTTTTTTCCTGGGAAATGAGTTAACTGCAAACCAATGTCAGAGTGTAACCCTTGGAATCACAGGGAACCTTTAGGTTTGGAACAGGGGGGGCGGGACACCGCTTGCATTTCCCTTCCAAGGAAGAGGATGCCAGCAGGTGCTGATGCAGTGGGGGACGCCCCACTGTGTACCAGTTCCACTAGTGAAGAAAACAGGAGGAAATGGTACTCGACACACTTGTGTGTCGGTGCCTTTCCGTCTGTTTTCCTCTAGACTACTCTATAGGTTTGCAGGTAGGCCTCCTAACTTTGTAATGGGCTCTTTAACCTGAACTTTGGCCTCCACCCACTAGATTGGCCCCCAACCTTGGCTGTCCTGTGTTTCTTGTGTTTTTTGTAACCTGGTAGCACTGGCCTCCAACTTGGTACCTTGGCCTCCACCCACTAGCGATGACCTCCAACCTTGGCTGTCTTGTGTTTCTTGCGCTTCTTGTGCTTCTTGTAACCTGGTAGCACTGGCCTCCAACTTGGTACCCTGGCCTCCAACCTACTAGTGATGACCTCCAACTTTGCTTCTTGATGTCACTTTGCGCCTATGGTCCACCACCTACCAGCGATGGCCTCCAACCTTAGGTCTTGGCCTCAACAGCCTTGCGTTGGCCTCTAAGCCAAAAGCGATGGCCTTTAACCTACTATATTTCCTGGCACCTCAGGCCTATTAAAAACTTAGGCCGGCGTGTGGCCCCGCTGTCAGTTCCGTATGCATATCTATAAGTGTGTCTGGCCCCGTGCCAGCCCGGATGAGCCCGCAGAGTGCCTCCCGTGGACCCGTCGAACGGGGGTTTGTCGTTATCTCCCCTGCCCGGAGATGTACGTGCCCAGAGCGGGCGGAGTAGGCTTACGCCGAAGTTATTTGCCAAGACTTGCTGAACTATTGACTTCCAAGCTGGCTCATGCCTGTACGTGACCGCAGCGGTCAAAGGTGGCAGCCTTCGGGCAAGCCGTACGTGGTCGCAGCGACCAAAGCTTGTTCCAAGTTCATTGGAACCTGTGGAGAACTCAGTCCCCCCTCCCCCTTCCCTCCCCCTTTCTTTCTTTGCTTTCTGGGGTTTTACTTGAATGGAAAACTCAGGATCACCCCTCTCTTTCTTTGGTGTGTCCCTGGACGCTGGTTCGTAGTTGGGAACACCTGCCTTTTTCCTTTTGTCTCCTCTCCCTTTCTCTTTCTTTCTTTCTTTCTTTCTTTCTTTCTTTCTTCCTCTCTTCACCTTCCTTCTTCCTTGGGTGTCCCTGGATGCTTTCGTCATAGCTGGGTCTTTCCTCGCGCGCGGCGTGTGTACAAGCAAACTAGGCTTCTGCAGCAGGTTCCTTGATGAGGTTTGGACTGTCATCAGTTTGTCCCCATTCATTTGGTTCCCCTTTCATCGGCCCCCACAGGCGTCTTTCCTTCTTTTCTTTCATGTCTTTCTGTCCTCGTTTCCCTTCATCCTCATCCTTTCTTTCTCTTGCGCGTACTATCGTCCGGACCTTAGTTTGTACACATACACGCACGCGTATTCTACTTACAACGAGGTTCAGGTGGCCCAGGTTTGTTACAATGAGGTTTGGTTCATCGGTTGTCCCTCTTCACTTGGTTCTTCTTCATCGGCAGCCACGCACACTTTTTGTCGGTCTCGTTCTTTTCATTTTCATCTGTCCCTTTGCGTGCACATGTGCCTTGCCTCCTTTCCGGGCAGGATGGAGAACCTTTAGGTTTGGAACAGGGGGACGTCCAACGAAGAGGATGCCAGCAGGTGCTGATGCAGTGGGGGACGCCCCACTGTGTACCTGTTCCACTATTTAAGAAAACAGGAGGAAATGGTGCTCGACACACTTGTGTGTCGGCGCCTTTCCTTCTGTTTTCCTCTAGACTACTCTATAGGTTTGCAGGTAGGCCTCCTAACTTTGTAATGGGCTCTTTAACCTGAACTTTGGCCTCCACCCACTAGATTGGCCCCCAACCTTGGCTGTCTTGTGTTTCTTGTGTTTCTTGTAACCTGGTAGCGCTGGCCTCCAACTTGGTACCTTGGCCTCCACCCACTAGCAATGACCTCCAACCTTGGCTGTCTTGTGTTTCTTGTGCTTCTTGTGCTTCTTGTAACCTGGTAGCGCTGGCCTCCAACTTGGTACCCTGGCCTCCAACCTACTAGCGACGACCTCCAACTTTGCTTCTTGATGTCACTTTGTGCCTATGGTCCACCACCTACTAGTGATGGCCTCCAACCTTAGGTCTTGGCCCCCAACAGCCTTGCGTTGGCCTCTCACCCAAAAGCGATGGCCTTTAACCTACTATTTACCTGGCACCTCAGGCCTTTTAAAAACTTAGGCCGGCGTGTGGCACCGCTGTCAGTTCCGTATGCATATCTGTAGGTGTGTGGGTAGGTAGGACATAGATATGGTATACGTGAGTATTTTGTTCATTCCGGAGATGTTTGCGCTTTCCAGTGTCAATGCAACAATTGCGAGTTGCTCTGGACCGTGACCGGAAGTTTTGCAAAGAAACCTTGAAAGTAGTCGCTGGTCGAGCTGATCCCAACCTCGAGAAGCAATTAAACAATACAAAGAGCATATCAACAAAGAAGCGATCTCTACGAGACCAGAAGACGAAATCGAATTCTTCTAGACACTCAACCAAATTGGTCGAATCCAGGTAGAATATCACAAGCTTTTGATGCATGCCCTTTGAACGCAAAGCACAAAAACCATGAGAAAACCAACATCAACTGTGGGACCGTTTTGGGACCCGTGACCTTGTTCGAGCGTTGCGACACTTAGACTTACTCCAAGGAAATTAATTGCTTGACCGAACATGTCATAAATTTAATGTGTGTGTGCCCCTTGTAGTCACAGGGATTCTTTTGAATTTGAACTTGACTTGCCGGTTTTCTCTTTCAGCAGGGGGACACAGCATTTCACTGGGACTGTGTCCAACGAAGCTACCAGTCCCGAGGCGCTTCTAATGAGGTTTTGTTTCAGCGGTTCTCGCCCCCTCCATTTGGTTCCCCTTTCATCCTTTCCCCTTCACACACTTCTGTTTCCTCTTTTCTTTCATGTCCTCCTGTCTTCATGTTTCGTCATCTCATCCTTTCCTTTGTTTGCGCGCGCATAGGTCCTGGCCTTAGCGTGTACGTGCACATCTACAACCCAGTTTTTGGGTCGCACAGGTCTCGACAATGAGGTGAGGCTCATCGGTTGTCCCTGTGCACTTGGTTTCTCTTTCATCGCAACCACGCACACTTTTGTCCCGTCTCGTCCTCCTATCCTTTTTGTCTTTCCTGCGCGCACCTTTGCGCATTCGTCCTAGCCTTAATTTTTGCTTCCCCTCGGGGAGGCGTGTGTGTGTGTGTGTGCCCCTTGTAGTCACAGGGGTTGTATTGAATTGTACACTGAGCTTTCTTCATTTAGAGCAGGGGGTGCCAGGGATGCACAGTGGACTGGCGCCAACGAAGACGCCAGTGTTGCATCTGTGAAATCAATCCGGGACGCCGGATTGACGTACCTCCTGAAAAATAACGTACGTAGAGCACAAGCTGTCTACTTCGTTGTTTCCTTCAGTAGAGGGCTAATGTGCGGTGATGAACTTGGTTTTTCTGCACGCGCGTCGTCACCTTGTCGTCCGCTCGCTCGGTGGTTTATTCTGGAGGAGTTGCTGGCCACCTGAAACTTGCTGGACCTCCACTGGATCGACCTCCACTTCCTTTTAGGTTTCCTTACCTGTACCTTTAGGAAATGGTAACCTAGGCCGGCGTGTGGCACCGCTTTCAGGTCAGTACACCCTATAGCGACGGCGGACTAGATAGAAATATTTTTGACTCGGGGCAACATTGATTTTTGGACTTGTTTTTTTATTTTTTTGACTTATTTCTATCTTTAATTCGCGTGGTATTTACAGTGTTTTGAGAAATGTATGATTTTTATCTTGATTTTGCTGGTATTTACAGCACTTTGGGCACGTGGTGTTGATTTTCACTGGTA